CTGACAGGAATGATAAAAAATGTTATTCAAAAATTTTTTTCTTTCTTTTGATGACACTTAAATGAAATGAAGAGATAGAACACAGGAACTGTAAAGAAAAGGAGTAAGAAGAGAAAGAAGAAAAGTAATTAGAAGTGCTGAGTAGGAAACAATATAAAAACAACTAAGAAAAAAGCTAAAATTGTTCTTCTGGGAGGCCAACAGCCAACTATTTCTATGGAGACCCTATCCTCTGAAACAAAACAGTCTGTTAATTGAACATTATATCTGAAATTAGACACATCTTAAAACATTCTTATGCCTCAGTATCACAGGCATAACCCATCTCTGCTCTGTGCAGTGGATTATGACAGTACAATCAGGAAAGTGACTACTGTATTGAGAAATTGAGGGGAGTGAGGTATTAACTATAGTGGGTTGCATGCAGGTTTCAAGTACAAACCATTAAAATGAAAAGATTTTAGAGTTCAAGGGTTTAAACCAGCCGTGGGCAAACTACGGCCCGTTAGAAATGAATAAAACTAAAAACTCCATCCATGCTTTTGTTCTGGCCCTCCGGTCCAGTTTAAGAACCCATTGTGGCCCTCGAGTCAAAAAGTTTGCCCACCCCTGGTTTAAACACTCAGTTATCTAATGAATATTTTATTCTCAAGTTGCTCATTGCTCTTGAGCTTAAAATTAGTGAAACCTTTTTCTCAAAGATGCTTAGTGCCAAGTTTTTATTTTTTAAGCAAGTGTAGGTTGAATCTTTTTTCATTGTTAATTTAATCATACATGTTTTTAACTCTAGAGTCCATGGTCCTTTTTTTCCAAGAATTCTGAGGCGTAGGAAAGGAAAAAGAGATTTTGGAAAAACTATAACACATATTGTAGCAAAAGTGATGACTACTGACATGGTAAGAAATACACTTCATTCTTACTTGTTCGTTTAAGTTTAGCTGTGTATAATCAGAAAAGCAGCACTTTGAAGGTAGGGTTCTTGCCTGGCTCAGAAATGCCATACTTCCCCCATTTCACCCAGCTTAGTGATTGGCATATAGTAAGTACTAAATGAATCAATGTCAACAATTATTTGCTGAGTACTAACCTTTGTTGTCAGGCACTATGCTAGTAGAATAGAAAGGATGGGAAATAAATATGAGAAAGCCTACATGTGAGGAAGATACAGTGTTGAACCAGACCCACACATCACACATTGTACAAGTTTGAATATGGTGGAGATATGAATAAGTAGGCAATTACAACAAAGAATGATACATGCTATGATACGGGTATGTACAGGAGGCATATAGAATGAGCACATAAGCCTGAATTAGCAAGTCTGGCAATGCTGGCTGGGAGAATTAACTCAGTTGAAACCTAAAGGAAGACTATAAATTTAAGCAGCCCAAGAGGGGAAAATGTTCTAAGTCTAAAAGTAAATATTTCCATCTCAGCCTCTCAGTAGCATTTCACAGTTCTCTCCTGGAAATATTTTTTTGTTGTCTTGTTACTATACTCCCCTGGTTCTCATTCTTTCTAGATGCTTCCCCCTCCTCCTTCTATCCATTAAATGCTTGGTACTTTTGCTGCATGATATTATCCCTAACTGATCTCTGTCTGATCAGTTAATATATACTGATAACTGAAAATGTGTCCACTGCCCATTGCTCATCACCACTCTATCTCAAAAGTACTTCAACTCAACTGTCCACAATTAAATACATGACCTTCTTCACTGACTTTAGTATATTCTAGAGTTCCCTGTGCCAGTAGATGGTTCCACCACCTACCCAGTTGCTAGTTACAATTTTCTGAGAGTTATCCTATCCCTCTTCACCTCCATGTATCCATTTTGGTGTATATAACATTCTTTCAGAGTCGCTGCACATCCTTCAACCCTCAACATAAACATCATGTCCACCCTTCGCAGCCTTCCAGGATGCATTAGACAGCTGTGTACTGTCACAGCACCCTGCCCTTCCCCTTATCACGACTGTGTTTAATACTTGTTGGTATCTATTGAGTGTCTCTTATTAGAATATGAGCTTCTTGAGAGCAAATGGTATATATTTACCATACACCCCCCACCTCCCATCATGCTTGGCACATGGTGCTCAACTGTTTTGGTTAAATAAATGAGTGCATGTCTGACAGAGTACGGTGTGTATGAGAAACAGAGAAGTTATTAGGTAAAAATAAGGCCATCGCCTTGGCCAGTGTGCTCAGTGGTTAGAGTATCGGCCTGCACACCGAAGGATTATGAGATCTATTCCCAAAGGGCATGTACCTGGGTTGCAGGCTCAACCCCAGGCCCTGGTCTGGACATGTGTGGGCGGCAACCAGTCAATGTGACTCTCACATTGATGTTTCTTTCTCTTTCTCTCTAGCCCCTGCCTCCCTTTCACTCTTTCTAAAAACCAATGGAAAAAAAAATTGCAGATTAACCAAAAATTTCAATTTTAAATTAAAAAAAATGAGGCCATCATGGTGAGTCCTAACCTACTCCTATAAGAAGATATATGAATGATATTGCCATTTCTATTGGGAAAAGAATAGGTATTTTCTGAGTATATTTCCAGCTTCCAAATTATATTTTAAATGTCCTCACTCTAAAAGGTGCTAATAATGAAGCCCTCTACCCTTTTCTACCCCAAGTAAAAATTCTTAGTACTTTTTTGAGTCCTACAATCTTTTATATATAAGACTTTGTGGATTTATCAAAATTGTAGGGTCAGTTCGAGTTAGAAAACAAAGAAATATATTGGAAAGGTATCTGGTGTCATAAAGACCTGGATCTAAAGCTTAGATTTACTGCTTACTAACTCTACCAGTATGTCCTTGGGCAAACCATTTAATCTCACTGAGTTTCCACTTCCTGCACCTTTTAAAGGCATAATAGTACACCTCAAAGAACTATTGTGAAGTTTAGGAGGTAACAGGTAAAATTCAAAATATGACTTCTAATACACATTATTTAGTCGCTGTAAAATTATTAGTGATCATAGAGATAATCTATCACTCCTTTAAATGATGGACTAACACTTTGAGCATTTAACAAACATAAATACATATAATAATTCAATGTATTTCCTATACAAGGAAAGTCTTGGGAAAAGCACATTACCAGTAAGTTAACTGATTAAAATGACCTCTCTCAATTTAACCTGTTGTTGAAGGTGTGCTGCTTTTTTCTTCTTTTCAGGTAAAGGACTTATCTTCAGACACATTTCTCCAACAGCATGATGATTTGGATTTGGCTTTGGATAGTTGTTATAGTGGAGATACAGTAGTTATTTTCCCAGGAGAATATCAAGCTGTCAATCTTGCTTTATTGACTGATGACATCATTATAAAGGGTTAGCAGGGCATCCTTTGCATTTTTATAGCAATGTGTACTAGGCAAATTGTATATTATAAGCATGGTTAATGAAATTCTTAGGAATTAGAACACAGTTTATTTTTCACAAAAATCCCTTATGTGCCTTTTTTAAAAAATATATATTTTATTGATTTTTTACAGAGAGGAAGGGAGAGAATAGAGAGTCAGAAACATCGATGAGAGAGAAACATCGATTAGCCGCCTCCTGCACATCTCCCACTGGGGATGTGCCCGCAACGCAGGTACATACCCTTGACCGGAATCGAACCTGGGACCCCCCAGTCCGCAGGCCAACGCTCCATCCACTGAGCCAAACCGGTTTCGGCCCTTATGTGCCTTTTTACAAGTAAGATTTTTCTCACCTGTCGTGTATATTGCCTGTACAGGTGACCTTGTCTGGATATACTGTACCAGAGCAAATCAATGAAGACTGCTTCTTCCCATTCTAATGAAAACCTATTGACAGTATTTTCTATTAGGACCATCTATATTTTTACTAAACTTTCTTTTCATCTATCTCCACTGCACTTAATGTCACTTTTGTGGGAAAGTCCAAATATAAGGCTATATTAAAGTATATTCAGCATTTTCTTTAAAAAGTTAATTCACATGCAAACTTACTAAAATAGTAGAAAAGCAGAGCTTTTTCTTAAGGGTCTGAATATATTTAGTAACTATTCTGCCTTTTTATATTGAAGCATGCATATTCCCACTGTCTGGCCAAAAGAAAAGAACAGGTGACTTAAAAGTTGCCTATCTACATAAAATTTTCACTAGATTTTGATGATTGTAATCAGTAGTATTTTGCTGAAAACTACTACTGGATAATAATGATCATATCTGTAATTTTTAAAAAATTTGTAGCCTTCTTGAAGATCCAACCCTTATTTTTGGATTGATGTTAAATTTAAGTTGCTTTTACTACGCCCGAGCAAAATTATGTATATGATTAATTTTATAACCTAATTCAAGAGTCTCTGCCAGTCCTTTTTAATATAATTTATTGTGGTTTTAAAAATAGGTATGGTAAGATACTTTTTGAGGCTTAGACATTTGTATATGATTATATTATATAATTTAGGGAAATATGTAGTGGAATGAGTATGTTACAGAAATACCATAGGTAGATTTAGATTGATTTTAAACCCAGATTACATTATAGGTAAGTATCTAATTAATAACTGAATTACATATATTATTTATTAAAAATGTGAAAAACTTAGTAGTAGTATTATTGAATAACAAAGGGCTTTTGACTTTGGTACTACTAATTATGTCTTTGTTCCAATGATTCAGGAGTTGGAAAGAGAGAGGAAATTATGATTACTTCTGAACCTTCCCATGACAGTTTTGTGGTGTCCAAAGCTGCTAATGTGAAACTAATGCACCTGTCTTTGATACAACAAGGGACAGTGGATGGCATTGTGGTGGTGGAGGCTGGTCACATGACTCTGGAGAACTGTGTATTAAAATGTGAAGGAACAGGAGTGTGTGTTCTTACAGGGGCTTCTTTGACAATTAAGGACAGTGAAATAATCGGTGCCCAGGTATTTCATTTTAAAACTGTTGCTTTCTATACTATAGATACAACTTTGAATGATCTTAGTATCCAAAGAAAGGGTAACAGTTACTTCATCTTTTAATTATTAAGCTTAGAAGCTGATGAAAATAAAATGAAGACCAGTACAAGAGTGTCATAGTATACTTAAAAGTGAACTGCCTAAGTCCAAAGTAAGGAATTATTACTTTGTGTTAAGTGTGATTTCTTTTTAAAATGTAGAAATCAGTGGCTATAAAATAGGTTATGAATCAGTTATCTGATAGTTTATTTTTAAAAAACAATACTCATAAACTATCAGACATTGCTGTAAGGTATGTAGTTAGTTGTAACAGCTTGAGTCTTCAAGTAACAGAAAATTTAACGAGAAACAAGATTAAAGGAAGCAGAAATCTAAGAGGACTTTTCCATTAAAATGAGTAAACAGACTTTAGCAGCATTATGAGGGATTTAGTAGAGTATATGTAAGTAAATTTTTACTACTGAAAAGAATTGCTTAAAGACTCCCTTTTAGAGACTTCATTTGAGTCGGAGAGCAACATAATAGACTGTACGACTTCAACCAGTCTTTTTTCTAGGCCTAAGATTTTCTTAGCACAGATAACAGTTTCCCCCATTTTAAAAACATCTACAGCCCTAACTGGTTTGGCTCAGTGGATAGAGTGTTGGCGTAAGGACTGAAGGGTCCCGGGTTCGATTCTGGTCAAGGGCATGTACCTTGGTTGCGGGCACATCCCCAGTGGGGGATGTGCAGGAGGCAGCTGATCGATATTTCTCTCTCATCGATGTTTCTATTCCTCTCCCTTCCTCTCTGTAAAAAAAAATCAATAAAATATAAAAAAACTATGGAACATTCACAAATATACTGTTTAAAAAAAACACCATCTACACAATAAATTGTTGCTTGCACTATTGTGTATTTACATGTAACTTAGTATGTTAAGTTGCTAATATGGGATTACAATTTTGAAATCTAAAGGAAATTTTGGAGAGAAATGTGTTTTACTGACTGTTGTATTTGCTTTGCATAACAGGGTGCTGGTGTTGAACTGTATCCTGGCAGCACAGCCACTTTAGAAAGGAATGAAATTCATCACTGTAATAACTTCAGAACCAATGACAGTTCAAAAAGCATCTTAGGTGGTGTTAATATGAAGGTATTCTTATATTCCTTAATATAGAATTGTTATGAGAATAATTAGAAAGCTACTAAAATATTACTTTTAGGCTTAAAATTTAGTCTAAATGTTATTACTGATTTGGAAAATAATAATATAAATAATTAAGATATGGCTTAAGTGATGGCTGGTAGGAAACAATTTTAGTCTTGTAATTTAATAATTTCAACTTGAATATTAGCAAATAACTTCAAATATGAGAAAGTTTGCTCTTATAAAAATGTTTTCAATTTTTCAGTGAGCAGATGCACAATATATTTAGGAAAGTAAAGCAAGTTAAGAGAATAAATATATTAAGAAATATTTTATATTACTTTCAAACTTTGTAAAATAATTTAAATCAAGTAAAACAGTAATGGCAATAGTTTATAATAGTGAAATGTCTTCCCATTCCTTTCTATTTCTATAAATTCTACCTTTCTAGATACCTCTCTAGACTTGTGTAGCTAATGAAGTTTTTCCATAGAAATCTAGTTTACATATTAATTGAAATTTTCATGTTTATCATTTTCATTCTTTTTGAAATAATTTATTTTCCTATTTATCATATTAAAAGTAAGCTTCATGGTATTGCTGTAACCCCATGTAGAATCATTTATCTCTACCAATAACTGATAAAAAAAAATAAGTCAAAAACCTCATTTAATGTTTCCTCAGTAAACATTTTGGAAGTTAATATTCCATTAACCCAGTGTGAGGAAAATAACTTGTTCAAAACTGAGATTCTGTTGTCTAAAAGAAATGTGTACTCCCAAGAATAAGTTCTAGAGTTTATGAACAAGTTTATGACATGTTCATTAGTTCATATTTTTATAGACATTATTGAAAAACTAATTTCTTTGAATACTTTCACAGGTTCTTCCTGCACCCAAATTGAAGATGACTAATAATCATATTTACAACAATGGCTATGGAATAAGCATTCTTCCACCAACTGAACAGTTTTTTATTGTAGCAGAAACTTGCAACAAAGGGGCTGCTTCAGGAGACAAAAAAGATGAAAATAGGCTCTCCAAAGTAATGCAAAATATGAATCTGGAAATAAATGATAATAAAATGGAAGCAAACTTAAAGGGGGATATCAGAATAGCCACAAATTAAAGCACTGGGTTTATGTTCAAGTTTTATATTTCAGAGAGTTTAATAAATCTCATCTCCCACAGAAATGGTAGTTCTAATTAAATTCAACTTATTTAATTAAAAACATTTAAACATGTTAATGTTTTCATTGAATGATTCATTGTAAGATTTTTTTTAGCCCGGCTGGTGTGGTACAGGGGTTGAGCACTGACCTATGAACCAGGAGGTTACAGTTCAATTCCCAGTCAGGGCATATGCCAAGGGTTGTGGGCAAGCCCCGGTATGGGCAGACGGCAGCTGATTGATGATTCTCTCTCATCCCTCCCTCTCTGAAGTCAATTTAAAAAATATATGTAAGTAAAAGAATTTTTAAAATAAGTTTTGAAATATAACTCACAAATCATAAAATTCATCCTTTTGGGTATACAATTCAGTGGTATGTAGTATATTCTTAGTACCAGGTATATGGTACCACCATCATTGCGAATTCCAAAAGCTAATGTGGTTATCAATGTTGCTTTTAATACCCTTAGTCCAAGAAGCAGCATTTTTGTGTTCTATGTGAATATTACATTAATTTTAGTTAATTCCTGATTCGTTACCATTTATGTGTTAGTAACTGGAATAAAATTAAGATAGCCCCATAGGATCAGGTTCAACTGCAGGAAACAAATTCAAAATAAGAGAGATTAAACACTATGATGTATTTCTCCCTCATACTCAGTAAGTCCAGAGGTACAGGCTACTTAGCGTAGGGCTGTAGGTGTTTCATGCTAGAAATTCAAGTTTCTTCTATTGTTTTACCATCATATGGTGTTTCCATTCGAAATCAAATGGTCCAACATAGCCATGGTTGCTCAAGCCATTATGCCGAAATTCCAGCTAAGTAGAAGGGCCAGTGCCTAATAAAGCTGCATACATTGTTCCAACTGGATTCTTCGCTGAATCTAATATGGCTATACCTAACTGCAAATGAAGGCAAGAAATCTTTGTGTTCTCTAAAAGAAGGGGTTTATTTCTAAGAAATATTTTACACAAAGCAAAACATACTTAGGATATAAAAGGAAATAAGCCCTCAGGCTCAAATACGTAAGTTTCCTCAATTTGCTTTTCACTGTGTTATCTGAAACCTAGCAAGTGACCCTGTGTTGCCACAGAGACTCTCTTGAGGCTGCGCTGAATAAAGCAGTTTTTCTTCAATGTTTCGTCGAATAGTCTTTTGCCATGTAATTCCAGGGATTGCCCATGGAGCCTTAAACAATCTTTCAATAATGAATGCTGAGTGGGGATTTCCCTTTCCAGGCCTCTTCCTCCACCTGTTTTTGGCTTTAGGAAGAGTAGGTCATAAAGACAGGATCTTTTGAGCGTGAGCAGAAAGCAATAGCCTTGTGTGAGCAAACGTGTCACTCATTGGTCATCTGCCTCCTTCCTGTTGCTGCCAACTAGTCTTTTCCCAGTCCCACTATTCTCACATTCCTAAAGCATGCACGAAGCCTAACATTTTCTCTGAATTTTATCTTTCATAAATATTTTTATCTCCCTCCTTGACCTTCCTACCCTTTTCCCCTCCATTGTAACAAATTACCACAAATTTAAATGGTCAAGCAACACTAATCTTACAGTTCTGTAGATTGAGGTCTGACATGGGTCCTACTGGGCTAAAACCAGTGTTTTGGGGCTGCGTTCCTTTCTGGAGCTTCAGGGAGAATGTTCTCTTGCTCATTTGAGGGTTTTAGGATTGAAATGTTTCCTTGACAGTTAGCCAAGGGCTGTTCCCAGCCTCCAGTGGGCAACTGCCTTCCTTGGATCATGGCCTCCTCCTTCCATCTTCAAAGCAGCAACAATGGATTGCATCCTTCATGTTTTGAATTTCACCTGCCTCTTCAGTCTCATCTCCCTCTTCCACTTTTAAGAATTTACACGAACCTGGATAATCCAGGGTAACTTTCTCACACTCAAGTTCCTTAGCTTTAATCACATCTTAATGTCCCTTGTGAAACCTAAGATGTGGACATCTTGGATGGTGGTGGTGGTATTATTCTGCCTACCACCTACCTTCACCAATTTTCCAGGCTAAGGTAAGAAAAATCCTAATTCTACTCCTCAAATGAGATTTAAGAAGTTTCCTCCACCAGAACCAGATATCCAATGCATTTCTTCTGTACATTTAAAAGGAATTCTAATTCAGTACCTAAAGGAGAGAGATGGTTTCATATTTCTGCTGTCCTTCCCATGTGTGCACACATCTGGCTTTCCCACTATAAATTTCTTAGAATATAGGTACTGGGTCTTAGTAGCCATTACTTCCTATGATGTACTGTGCATTGCCAACTAGTAACTTGCTGGGGATAGAAATGCTAGGATCTAGAGATTGAGATTAGGAGTGACCTTGGTGTGGATAAAAAGGGAAGAATTAGAACCTCTGCCTTCTGTGAGGGACAGGCAGTGGAGTGGAGATCTCCTTCATTGCCTTACCAGCAGCAGCGAGGGAACAACCTCATTTGGAGAGCAGAATGGAAGCCATAATGCTAGAACCTTTTTTCAGTTTATGAAATAGAAGCAGTTAGTGGTAAGTGACTACAACCCCAGAATGAAAGGCAGTCCTCAGCAGAACAAGGTACAGGAGATATGATTAGAGGAGCAAGTTGAGACACCCAAGTCGGGAATTGCATGTATATTAATTTAATGGTTAGACCAGAAAGCAAAAAATTTGAGAACATGTCTTTTTCTAAAGTATTAAGGTGGAAAATGAAAAAACGTTTATACTTTCAGTGATTGAACCAAATCAGGCGTTACAAGTTCCAAGACTATGAACTACCTTAAATTTTAATTAAAAAATGTTACTTGCCTTTGTGGAGAGTCCATAGCGTCCATCATATTCTCAGAAACCTCTTAGCCCACTTAAGACATGTTTTCACATGTACAAAGGGCAGGAGCTTTCATTGATAAGGCCCTAAGTGCAGTGTGGCTGGTGGGTGGAACAGAGTGTAGAGTAGGAGTAGGGATGAGGTGTTTAGCCCTGACTCTGAAGGAGCCCGTGATTTAAGGCAGGAACGGGAGGGGTGATAATAGATTTGTACGGGATGTTTACTCCAGCTGAGTGTGGAGAATGCACTGCAGACAGACTGCAAGCAGCAAAGATCAGTTAAGAGGGTGTTGCATCATTGTACACCCAAATTAATATCCAGGATAGAATAGGCTGTTGCTTTATAAAAGTGCGACTGAATTGGAAGTAAAAGTGACTTGATAATATATATGGTTTTAGCAATTATGTAGTTGAAACTTCTGTGATAAAAAAAACAACAGTTGCCCTAACCGGTTTGGCTCAGTGGATAGAGCATCGGCCTGCAGACTGAAGGGTCCCAGGTTCAATTCCGGTCAAAGGCATGTACCTTGGTTGTGGGCACATCCCCAGTAGGGTGTGTGTAGGAGACAACTGTTAGATCCCTCTCCCTTCCTCTCTGTAAAAAAAATAAAAATCAGTAAGATATATTTTAAAAAAACACACAAAAAACAGTAACAGTTGAACAGGGAACAGAGTAGAAGGCATAGAGTGAGTTAGAGTGTGTTCTTCAGTTTGGAAGTACTGCTGACCTTGAACAATAGGTTTGAACTGTGTGGATCCTCATATATGCAATTTTGCAATAATCATCCATCTGTATCTCCAGGTTTTACATTAACAAATTCAACCAACCACGGTCGAAAACAGTATTTCCAGGGATGCAGACGGCTGACTGAATGCATTTTATGCCATTTTGTTTAAGGGACTTGGGCATCTTCAGATTTTGGTATCTGCAGGGGCAGGAAGTCATAGAACCAATTCCCTGTGCATACTGAGGACAACTGAAGTTTTTGGAGTCAAAAGTTGTGAATTTCTGACTGTGTGACGGGTTGGTGCCCGACCCCTGTGCTGTTCAAAGGTCAGCTATATGGACTTTAAAAAAAAAAATTTTCAGTGGGATTTCTAAGCAGAAATGTATAACTAGTAAGCAGCTGCTTATACCACTACTATAGATAGTAGTCTGCTCAGAAAAGAAATCTGAGTTGGAGATTCAGCTTTGAATCTACAAATAAATTGGAGCCATTGGCTTATCGACAATAACTACTGAAGGTGATGGAGAAGAGGATTCTGAAAAGAGCATGAAAGCAAAATAACTGGCCCAATACCACCCACATGTAAGAAAGCAGCATAGTTCTGTCTAATCCAAAGCATTTGTGATCTCTATTGTATTCTATTTCTCAAATGAGGAATATGTAAACATCTTTGGAACTGTAAAGTGTTACAAATGAATAAATATCTCTACTAAAACTAGCTTAAATATCCTCTGAACTACATGTATGTTAACATAGACAGAGTTAACTGTCAGGTATATAAACTTCATGCATTGGTGAAACTTATTCAAAGAGTTTTGTGGGTTTTAAATCCTAACTAAAATTATTTTTAAATTAATTTTTACACTGGAAACTAACTTAGAAAAGATAACGCTGACCGTTGGTTGGCCTTAGATGTTTCAAAATTGAAGCTTGGGAAAAAGCCAAAATGCTCAGGCCCAGGTTAGTCATCTTACTCAGATGCAGAGGTCTATGTGAATAGTGTACTGGCCAGTATTTGTTGCAAGAGTAACAACTCCACTCCAAGGCTAATTATTCTACTACAAATAACAATATCACTTGGTGTACTTTTGAAACAGTAGTTTTTCCTCTAATGTTTTAAACTAACAGATGTAACTGGCATTGTAAAATTATTGTGTAAGATCAATAATTACATTGCCTATATTTGGTGTAATATTTTATTTTCTCTTGTATTAAACGAAAGCCAAGAAAATATCAAGTTAATTGTAAGGCAAATCTTTACTTCTTAAAAAAAAAATACAAACCGGTACTTTTATAATAGATCGTTATATTTTACATAATATAAACAAAATCACTAATATGCCTATATGCTTGGTTTCCTTAAACTACAATGAACCACAGGAATAGGTGAAAAATGGGTTTACTTATTAACAGCAAATAAACAACTTGGGAAAACAGGTAGCATGCATTTTTTGTTTACTGTCTATGCATAGGCCCCAACATAACCAAACTTTAATAGCCACCACCCCCCCTTGTTTGCCCAAAGTAGTCACTCCCATAGCCCCCT